CTGCTGGCTCCTCATGCTCCTAGCATTAGTATATACGCACTTGAGCCCTGTGAGTGGCGCCTTTGCTGCCCCCCAGCTCTGATTCCCAAAGGGCCCCTTATTGCTTACCTGCTTATTGCTTACCTGTGCTGTACTGCTGGCCGCCCCATGGGTTGCAGGTTCCCGATGTTCTCCTTCTTCAGGCTGGACTGTCCTTGTGGGTGCCACATGGTTTGGTGGTCCACGGCTTTATATATTACTTTGTTCAATTACCTATTTATTTATTGACATAACCAGAGAAATCTCTCTGCAACATGATTAGGGCCAGAGTCTGCACTTAGTTGCTTGAGATACTAGCACTTATTTTGTGTAACTAACCCTCCCACCCCACCCCTTAAAGTTAAATGTCTTAACTGGCAACACTTGCAGTGATGTTTGAATATGCCAATAACAGAATTCCACAAAAAGTGACTGGTTTTGAGCTCTCCTCATTTTCGGGGCCGGACGTGGGCTGTTGGGGCAGTAACCAGAAGGCTGGGGTCAGCTGTGGGCCTTTGAGCTGGGGGAAGGTCACGATGGAGCTGGTGTCTGGGGCTATAGCAAAGGCCTCTTGCCTTTGGACCATTCTGAGGGCCAAAATCTCTTGCCCTGTGTCCTTGCTGTCACTGTCCATCAATCAAACCCCTCCTGGGTCCATGAGTTTGGGGCACAAGGCCTTCTCAGAGCAACCCCAGCCTGTCCTCTTGGTTGCAGGGCCCAGGCCCCAGCCCTGTCCCCTGGTTCCCCAGCACAGAGCAGGGCTACGCTGGTTCTCCAGTCACTTCCAGGACAATGGAGATCTGTGCTGGAAGGGACCTTCCCTCCGGCCCAAACAGCCAGGCTGGAGAGGGGGGAAATGGGCTGGGAGTAGTGGGGCTGGGCCTGCGGCGTGAAGGGGCAGTGCTGACAGGGCACAGAGCAGGGCTGGAAGAACTAGACAGTATTTAAAAAAAATATATATATATAATATATATATATAAATATCAGCAAAAAGACTTTTCTTCATGCAGCTTAAACCATATAAAGCCTGTGCACCCATTGCAATAAGTGCATCCATGGGCCCTTGCTCCCAGGCACCTGTGCTCAGCCTTCCTTCCCTAACCCTCTTGCAAGTCCTACAAAGGTGACAAAGTTCGAGGGGATTTTATCTCTGTGACGAGAGAGAGAGAATGGCAGAGTGCACTCCTTAGGAAGGGAGGGCGAGTCTCTGGGGTTTGGCTTGGGAGGAGAATTTAGTTTTTCCCATGAAACGTTTCTCCCCAGGGCTGTTACTTGAAGCCTCTGCCAGGCCATCATGGATACCTTGCTGTGGGGAGGCCATCCAGCATCCCCAGCGCTCACAGGGCAGGTGCAACCACTGATGTATGTTGTCCCGTGTTGAGATATGAAGACATGCGCATATTTACCAACTCCTGTGAAAGCCTGGGGACCTGGACTCATAATTTTGGAGCACCTGGTCCTGGCAATAGTAGTATGGGTGTCAGTAACTGATTGTACCCAGCCAGGACTCCAGGATTCGCAGTGATGCCTGCTGGTGGCTGTTTAGTGCTTGCTCCCCTTGGGACTCCCAGTGGCTCCTCTGCCCAATTTCTTGAGCTGTCTTGATCTCACCTTCTGTCTATCTGTCCCAATCTGGTAATCAGGTGACTTGTCTAGTAGGCCCACAATTCTGGTCCTATACCCGGCCGTTATCTGGATCCTGTGCCTTTAAGCGCCCCTGCCCCTGAATTCTTAGTCTGTAAAGGGGGTCCCATCAGCCCCAGCCTCCTGCAGCTCAACCACCTGCTTGGGCTGGATGCAAAGAGTAGCTTCCTCTGCCTCCACCCAGGTGTGCTTCCCAGGGCTCTCCTACACCCAGGTCCCCGAGC